AGGAGGTGCCATTAGCCGCTCCGTCCGCGACTTGGAAACCAAGGGCTGGCCTGGCTTATGGGATTTAAGGCTTACCGTCGCTAATAATCTTCCACATGAGTTCTGGACAGTAGGTGGTTTCATCATCACTTGTGCTTGATGGCTTTGAGTCTGCATTTCTTCGAACCCGCTGCCATTCGCGGCGTGGGCGGGTTGGGATGCGCCCTCCCGCATGTCCCTGCCCAGAACTTAACAGACTTAGCGAGTACAGCTACGCGGGTTTCGAGTCGAGATCCGAAGCTGAAGACAGCCACAAGGATTCACAGACTGCTTGCAGCCCTTCCCGCTTTCAAACAATACAATGTTACCATCGGTTTGGGGGGGTGTGGATTGCCAGATGCCTGTTCGGAAACAACCATTGAATCCGAAAGTCTAGCCGCCCCTCTTCCTAGCATATGGCCCTTTATAGCCAGACTGGGCAAATCACTGGCATAGCATGGATTTCGTGAAATCCTCAAGCCTCCATTGAAGATCCTGAGCCCTAGGTAGGTCTTGAAGCCAGCCCTCCTTCATCCCTGCATCGCACCGCAGTCCCGGAGAAAAATGCCCCTGTCCACCTGAATCTGAACAGAAAACGATCAGAACAGCCTGCACCTCCACGAGGCCCTGGAAACCGGAAAAATCGTCATCAGCGAGTCTCCACCAGTTTGCAACCCATACCAAACTCAACTTAACGCTTACGGTGTCAATTACCACAAAACTTTTCATAGCAATAGCTTAGTAACGCAACTACAACACAAGCCAGCCAATCATCCCAAAATCGCTGCCTAGAAAAGTCCCGAAGCCCGGACCCTCACGTGCAGCCACGAACACCTCAAAAACCAGACTCAAAACCCCGAGCGGCCAAGAATCCTGCAGTAGTCATAGTAATGCACGAGTACTAGTACTAGTACTAGTACTAGTACTAGTACTTAGTAGTAATTAGTCATAATAATAGTCTGATTTTTGTGCGCATAAAAATCAATAATAGTCTGGTAATGGCAATAGGGGCCTTCTGGAACCAAAGGCAGCGTCTGAGCTGGGACCTCGGAAGTTCATAGGCGCCTTCGAACTTAGAGGTTTGCAATAGGCTCGACAGTTCAGGGTACTACGGTTCGGGGGTTGGGGATTCAAAGGGTTTCGGGTCTGGGATTTTTCGGGGCTATAGTATATAGGGTGGTTGAGAACAGAGTCTGTATTACAGGGTGTCCTCAGAGCTTTCACGGCTAAAGGGATTGTGGGTGCATGACAACGCATGCCCGCATAGATCCGGGTCTCTTCTAGGTAGCAAGCACAATGCCGCCATATATAAGATATATAATATTTATAGCATATATATATATATATATATATACATATGCACATTGGATATATATATATATATATATGTGTATGTATATATATATATATATATTACAAAAATACATATATATATATATATATATTATAATATATGTGTATTTCTTCGCCATCGAAAAATAGGTTGTTTTCCAGTTTGTGTAATATGTTACATGCTTTTGATACTATAGTCTATATGATATAAAACCCGTAAAATATGCAACATATATATATATAGCGTTAAATAATACAAAATATGAAGATGTGGGTTATGCTATTAGAGTATATAGTCTATACACTATATAACATATACTTTGTAATATATAACTATACAAGATGCAATACATACATACATAAATACATACATACATATAACATATTATATAGCATACATTATACCACATAATTTATATATATATATATATATATATATATATATATATATATTGTATAACATGAAGTATACATTGCACAGATGTATAACATATGTTATTCTTATTCTTATTCTTACTATTATCTAACACATACTTTAACATAATATCATTGCATTTATTTTAGTATATTCAGCATATACATTCTGACACTTTCGAGCCAAGCATATCTGTCGGCGGTTTGGGGGCTTCTCGACTCCAGGGCCGCTGCCGTCTTGCATCGACTGCCCCTGGCCGATACTCATAGAGCTCTGAATAGACGCCACAAAAATGGGGCCTTGGGCCGGGGCCCATCATAACGGAAATTTCTCTAGCCGGTTTTTACCTTTCGAAGAGACCACTCCCTTTCTCATACTTTGTATTACAAGGCAAGCATACGACTCTGCTCAGATCCTACTAGCTCTGGAGGTCTAGACTTTGGCTACTGCAATGAGCTATGAGCTATGCGATCTGTACTCCCGTCCGCTACCATTGCATGCGCTACATGACGTCTGATTATGACTTCTGCGGTTACAGTGAGATGGCTGCATATAGCTGCTGCTTACTCCAGCCATTCATTTGTTCGCCATTGCAGCTGCCGAAGGTTCCAACAGCACGCAGATCGGCCTCCGCGCAACACCTGGTTCGGGCTCCTGCTGCTGGCACACTAGATCTGAGACGCTAGGGCCAAACATTTAGAATTACAGGGCGGCAGCCTGATCCAGGCTGTCTAT